AGAGAGATGCTTCCAAAGGGGAGGTCGAAAGACCTGATTTAGGTACTTCAGGAAGGACAGACTGGGTGCATCCATTTTAACTGTTAAAGCAGGCTTTTACTAACTAGTCATCAAAAATACCTCGCAGCTCTGTTACTGAATATTCCAGGCATAGAGGAAAATGTGATGCCTGCCACCATTCTCTTAACTGCTGGAAAATGACAAGTTTTTTCCCTGCCTGTTGTTAGGATAAGAAATGTTAGGCTTGTATTTTTCTCTTGCAAACAAAATAGACCCTGTTAATTGAAAAAGGCAAGGAAATCAAAATGTCTTCTGTATTTCCTGTAAAATTTTGATTCCATTGGTCCGTGAAAATTTTGTCCGTGACTGCATAACTGAAATAATTCAGTTATAAATCTATATCAAACTTTTTCATGCCTTTAATCATCCAGTGTTTCAGAGATTGACTAGCAGTGACCTCTGGTGGTACAAATTCTGTGTTACTGCAAACTAATGATTTGGATGAAGTAACACAAGATCATATTCTTTTTATTAGTCTCCTAAAGAATGTCTATTTATTCAATTTGTTTAGCAACTTGAGGACAGTGATATTAATGATAGGCTAGCAGAAGGGTTTTTTTTCTGAATAAAGAAAACTTGTAATTAAATAAGTTGACCAATTTGAAGGCAGTAATGCAAACTATGTGAGCACACATCTTGGACTGAATCAACGTCGCTGATCTTTCGCCAAACTGAGCATTAATTTTACAAACTAAAAGACAACATCAGTTTTATTGTGTAAGTCTCTCTAGGGAAGAGGAGACTGTATTTTATAATTGAATTTTCTTATGTTACATGGTTGGGGTCCAGATGTTTTGCTTTGTTCCTGAGATGTCAATTTTGAAAGTGATCTTACTATATTAAAGAGATTTTTAAAAAAAATTAATATGGATGAAAGTTTTATAAATATGGTGGTCAAAAAGGGGATAGATCTCAGCGCAGCCACTGTAGAAGTTCACTGATCTGGTCTGGTTTTTTCTAAAGTTATTATATAACTTTGCTTTTGTTTCTTTGTCTCATAGTGCTGAGCTATATGTATCAAGCAAGTAGTTTTGTACTGAAAACATCTACTTTTGCAAAGATTTTACATTTATTTTATTTTGCTTTGTTGTTGGATTTTTTTTAGGATGCTTTTGTCTTTGTTAAAAATGGAATAATGGATTCAATTCAATTTGGAAAAGGTAGGCAAGTCGCATATTTCTGGATTAAGCATTTTCTGTTGTTTCTACTTGCTACTTAGAAAGGTGGTTGAATCAGCAAATTCTAGTTACAAGAGGGGAGAAGGGAGAGAGAGTGGAACGGGAGTATACTGGAATACTTTCTCCAAGTGTGGGGGGAAAAAACCTGAGACCACTGCTAATTCACTGTGGAGTTTCATTTCTGTTCAAATGAGAGAAATGACCAATTAAATAGTATTTCTCATTCCTTTGATTTTAGCTTTCTTCTGAAAATCACAGTATCACAGAACGATTGAAGTTGGGATCTCTGTAGGTCTCTCTGTAGAGGCACTTCCGTAGATCATCTGGTGCAGTCACCTGCCTAAAGCAGGGCCAAAGCAGGTTGCTCAGGTCCCTGCCCAGTCAGGCCTTGAACATCTCCAGGGATGGCAATTCCACAGCCTGTCTTAATTACAAACACGACTTCTTAATTCTAGGACAAGTTACAAGCAGTGTTTGCGTTCAAGTTCAGTATCAGAAACTATAAATAAAAGTTTTTTTCCTTGAAAATAGTATATTGGGAGATTCCAAAATATGCGTTGTGTCATTTAGTCTATATTAACTCACAGTACAATCAAACTTAAAACTGCTTTCCTTTTCCTTTAAGAACTAACATTTTGCACAACATAAAAAAATACCTAAGGAGAAAAATTGTCAGCTTTGCTGCTGTGTTTTGAGGACTGTAATTCTCATTCTGCCTAACACAAACTGCAGAGTGTGTCCCTGGAAAATAAGGCATCTACATTCCTTAATAAAAAATCCAGTCTTGGACTGTTTTCAGTTTTGGATATTTATAATTTTACTTCCATCTTTATTTCTAAGTGGGAAACAAAAGAATTAATATTGAATTACTATGCTTCATTTTCTTCTTCTTCTCTCTCTTTTTTTTTTTTTTTTTTTAAATTCTAAGATGCTTATGTTTACCTGAAGAATCCACCACCAGAATTTCTTCCCAAAGTTGGTGTAATTACAATATCAGGCTTAGCTGGTGTAGTGCTGGCAAGAAAAGGTAGGTTTTTCTGCTTATTTTCATTATTGATGCATTGAACACGTAGCATGTAGTAATTTTAACAGTCAAAAGATTTTTCTGAAACACAGGCAAAAACCTACATAACTAGTATTAAAAAAAGTTGTTCCTGATAAATTGGAGGGACATTATTCAATGTTTCTTTTAAAAGCTGACTAAGACCTAATAGAGCAGGATTATGTAGTCATTTTTAATGGTGGAATCAACAGAAATTCAAAGTATGAAACCTGTTTTGGTTACTGGTTTTTGAAAATTGGAGGAAATTGGACTCAACAGGTAAGGTGACTGACTGTAGTGAAAACTAAGGGAATTTAAAGTAAAGAAATGAAAGAACATTGGCATTTGGCTGAGAGTACAAGAGAACACACGTCAGAAGGCATGGTTTCGGCAGCTTTGTAATAGATACAGCTGCTTCTCCTTTCAAGATAAATATTAGAGGAATAATATTTAACCTGCCAGAAAATACTGTTCAGAAAATGTTAATCTGTAATACCTGAGTGTATGTGTGTCTGAATATTTCACAAAGCAAATGGGTTAATCAAAATATTGGCAGATTAGGAAAAGCTTTCTTGTATCCCTGTTGCTTTTTGGTGGACAGATTTAAAAAAAAAAAAAAAATTTGGCCTTGAGAATCTGTCATCAGGGATCCTTGTCAACAAACAGGAACCTGAGTCTGGCCCAGCCGTTCTCGTGTTTGAAGAGAGGCCCCAGTTTCCAGGCTGCAGCTGCTCCGGTTTCTGCAGTCTGTGTCCTCAAAAGAGTAAGGATGGAGCTGGTGAAGAACCACAGCAGCTCCTGAATTTTTCACAGTATTGAAAAATCTAGTTTGGGATTATTTCTCCTTCAAGAAACTGGTGTTCAGAATAGCAGTATCTGCTGCAAACGTGCCTGTGCTGAGCCACAATCACACTCTGTATTCTCTCTTCCAGCTACGATGGCAATAATTTTGATGTAAACAATGGTTAGGGGTTAAAAATTGCATGTAATTGATACAACTGCTTAGCTTTACAGTTCATTAGTGTCTAATTATTCTAAATGTTTGGCTTTTTACAGATTCTAGATTTAAGAAAATTGCTTATCCATTGGGCCTTACAACTTTAGGAATTTCTGTTTGTTACCCAGCTCAGTCAGTGGTAATTGCTAAGGTAAGATTCCTTGTATTTTAATACTGAATTAACAGTGAATTTAGTCATAGCATTCCCATTACACTTGAATTAAGTGTTGTGGGACTAGGAGTCAGAATTCACATGCATCTTCATTAGAACATATAATGCATCACAGATGTTAATTGCGTAACTATAAAAAATTAATAAAATGACTGGATTTAAAAATACGGTTGTATAGCCTCTTAATTCTTAATCCTTGTTTCTCGAATAAATGAAGATAATTTTATCTTGCTGAAATAAAAGTAATTAAAAAATAAAGCCTTGCCAAAGGTGATAGGTGTGCAATTGGAGATACTGTACAATTGCATCTCTTGTTAGAATTCCTTGTTTTCCAGTTACTGTCATCTTGCAGCACTCTACCTGATTAGAATTTATGTGTGAGAATTTTTTGCACGCAGGACTTTTCTACACAAAAAGATAATTGAAAAGCAGGATATAAAGTCTATATATCTCTTCCTTCTCTACAGCTTTCCAGTGTTTCCCTATTTCAAAAAGTGCATGCTGCTTCATAAGGATCCTTTGTAGTTCCTTGACAAACTTTGTATTTAAAATTTTAAAATTTCATTTCTGTGTTAAATTAATGAGATAGGAAAATTTAGTTAGTTGTGTTTTATTCTAGGACTTACCAATCTTTCAGTTAAGATTATCAGATTTAAGCTTTGCCAGAAAGATTTCTGGAACGTTATCGCGAAACCTGATCAAAAAAACTACTATTGAATCTCTAACTTTCAATCATGACAAATCAGTTGTTATTGTTACTAATTTTCGTGAAGTAGGTTTTTTTTGTATTTTTATACTTCCAGAGTACTCAGGAAGATACCGCAAAGATTTGTTCCATGGTTAAAATCTTTGGGTGAACTTATATTGCTAAACTGATATATTGGGGTTTTCTTATGCACATCAGTGAGGATTACAGTTTTTCAAGAGAGAAGTTATCTCTCAATAATAATTATTATTATTCTTATTTACTTACATTATGTATCACCTCTGCACAGTTTTTTTGTAGTTGCAGCTGTGGAGTATTCTGTTCTGCAGAGTGTTTGTAGAGGCACTCTGTAGTCACTGCACTATTACAAAATTACTTTTCAAAAGGAGACTGGAGGATTTGGCCATTTGTAAAGCAAAGCACTGCTCACCAACATGGGCCAGGTCATCTGTTGGGGCTTTTTCCTTTTGTGTTACTGTCTGTGATCATTTCCAACATAATGAGACAAGTTGGATCCTTCAAAACTCCCGCTCCAGTCTGTTGTGCTAACTTTTCTAAAACACTGTTTGCTGATCAGGTTTTGATTTCATTTTGAGTGGATGTAGCATGTGGACGCTACCTGTGGATTTCTAATATGAACTTAAACATGATTTAGGATTTGCTTGATGTAAAAAAATATGCACTAGATAATGAAAAGTAGATGATTAAAATGTCTTAGTATGGAGTCAAGCATGTTCTCATGCAAATAAGATGCATTTCATTGGGATGGTCTGTGTATGTCAGTGTTTTTAAAGCTGTTGTTAAATTAGGTTTTTCTAAAAAACAGGTAACAGGGAAAAAGTTGTTTTCTGCAAGCCATCAAACCTATGAAGCTGTGCGATCACTATGGGCAAAGAAGGAGGATGTCACCAAGGTAGGCTTTCTAAAGCAGTGACTGTAACTCAAATTCAGAGGCAGAAAAACATAAATTAGAAGGTCATTATTCTGCTGATACTCTCTACTAATTGCATTGCGAGGCACAAAAAACACTCTAATATTTGTGTAGCTTCAGTGTTTGATTGGTGTCATATTTGTTAAACCTTTCAGACCAATAGATACTGAGATCCCCTGTGTAGTCCCACAGTACATGCAGGATGCACGAGAGAAGTCTGAGTTTTTCCTATAGCTCATTTTTGATGTTGACAAAAATAACCCATTCTGATTCAAGCTTTGGTCCTAGCAGACCAAAGACTGTAAGGCAAAGACACGCAGAATTAGGCATGCATAGCTTGTTCTTAAACATACCAGTGAAGGGAATTCTACCACCTTTCCAAGTAATCTGTTCTAATTACCCTGTGATAGAAATTGTCCATGTGTGATTTTATTTTATTTTTTTTTATCTTGTCCTGTCTTCACTGCAGCCATAGTGAATGAATGGTCAGTAACCTCTTTATATTGACCTATTATATGTGGAAAATTTATCATGGTTTTTGACGTTACCTTCTCCCTAGTGTAACCTTTCCTTACAGAAGAGTCTTTCTAACTTGTATATAGTTCTTGTTCTCCTCTGAGCTTTCTCTAGTTTCTCTCTCTCCTTTTTCTGTTTTTAGGGTGGTTTGTGTGTGGTTTGTGTGGTTTGATTTTTTTTTAAGTGAAGTGGTCGAAACAGGAAAAGGAAACCAGCTGAGGCCTTGCCAGCACTAAGTAGAGGGGAATATTAACCTCCTGGAAATTACATATGGAATTTGGATTAGAACATCCCAGAATTAACATGTTGTTTCTGCAACCTGAAAGGGTTTTTCTCCATTGGAAATCTATAAACCCTCGACAAAGTAGTACTTCCCTGAGTAAAATTTCAGCTTTGCACAATGATTTTTTTTTTCCTCTTTTTAAAGAACGTGGAAGTTTCTCAGTTATTAACATACAGAAGTATTTTGCTTTGAATTTATGGTGTTCATTTGTATGCAGTCCTCACCTTTGATTTCCACTGAGGAGCACAAATGGAATTCTTAGTGTTGAAAATGAGATTCAGATAAATGTTATTAAACTGACAGTGAAACAAGAATTGATGCAGTAAAGACATTTTTTATTTACTTTATTTTTTTCCCTGAGTGAAGCCTGTTCTCAAAACAATGCATTATTTTTCATTACTAGGGTGTTACCATGATTTATCTTTCCCTCTTCTCTTAACTGAGGGTAGGTAAGTGTTCTGTAAAAACTAAATGCTACTTCAGCCTTGTGTAAGACTATCGGTTCCTCATCTAAAAATGAACAGTGGCTTCCTTGTGAAGTACTGTGAGGGTCTCAGGTAAAAGCACAGTATATACTCATCACAAAGTGAATTTCCTTATGTGTGAATTTGAAGTTCTTGTCTCTGAACTGTAGGATTCTTTCATGCATTTTGTTTTTTCCAGCTGTGTCCCTTCCGAGCAGCTCACTTTAATATTACTAGTTGAATATCATTGTGTGATGTTATATCTGAAAATAATTTCATGTAAGATAAGCTTTCAGACTTGAAAGCTTTATTTTGCAGCAACGTATTAAGCATATACCCACGTGCATTTTTTTATTCATGTTTGGTTCACAGCTGCAGCGAGAGTCAAAATCAGTTACGCAAGAAGATAAGAAAAAGAAAGAAATTTCTAGTACAAAACCTGAGTCTGCTATTGAGTCCACATCACTTAACAAAACAGAATCTTCTCCAGTAGAGTCGGGGAGTAGTAAAGATCCAGTGTCTTCATCAGGTGATAAAACATTTTGAGTGTAATCTCAGGGCAACTTGAAGATCCAATTACTTTGCTAGGTTTTTTACTGTGGTTCTTTGTGCATCTTAAGTGGTTGAGATAATCAGCTAGATCATGTAACAGCATATTTAACATACAAATATTTTGATAGGCCAATTGCTAAGAGAAATAGCAGAGTTACCTCTTAAAGGAGAACTAAATTTGTTTTAAATTGTTACCTTTTGTAGGGGCAACTTCCGAATTTTACTCCCCACTTAAACTTGCTTGCTTCTTTTTATTGTGTTCTTTACCAGAACATTTTTTTTTTCTGGAAACCAAGCAGAACATATTTGGATGGGGTTTTATTTTTTTTCCTTTCATTTTCACTGTAATATACATTTACGACTTTCTTTGCTTTGCACCTGTATTTCTTCTGATTTAGTTTGTGGAATACTTTCATCTGGTTTTACATTTGCTTTGGGCCAGACTGTCTTTAGTGGTTTTATGTATATGGATATCTTTTGGTTTTGCTTTCATGGGTGGAATTAGTTCATGCCCCTAATACAGCCAAAAATGCCCATGCCCTAAATTAATCTGTGTTGTCAGAGGTGTTTGTTTTAACTAGTCCAGATGGGGCAAAGCTTTCAGGAGAACATAGCACCCTTTGTTAAACCAACTGATGTAGCTGGAAAAGCAGCAGACTAGTAGTAGGAGGCGCAGTCCTAGAAAACCTGCCTTTATATTCTCTTAGATCCTCTGGAATTGCGGTGTCATTAAATAGGACAGTCTTTGTGGCTTGTCATTCAGGATGAGTGTGAGTGCTCAACGTTTTAGTAAACTTAGCTCATTGTTTTTGGAAGTCATGAAGTGAAGTAAGAGCATTTGTCTTAATTTGGAATTCTTACCATCTGGCAGCAGCTTCAGGGAAGATACTGATTCAGTTGGTTTTGGGAGACACCTGTGCTCCTGGGAGCAGCAGGGGAAGAAAGGCTGGAGATTTGTTACCATGTCCCAAACTTTTCCTTCCTTTACGTGTGTAGGGCAAAGTATCACTGTTTCTTCTCTCACCCTGCTGTGTTGAGGGGAAAGACCTGCTCTCCATCCGCTGCTGTGTGTTACTAATTACAACATGCCTTCATTGTCCTGCATCACAATCACTTGCACAGTTTTAACTAGAACATAGTTATTTTGGTCTTTTTTGTAAGTGTTTGGTAATACAGTAATTCTCAAAATGTGTCAATGACCCATTTTATCTGCAGCTTAAATATATATATATTTTAGTTAAATTTTTTTACTATCTCTCACAGGAACAGCAAAGACAACAAAATTTAAGCCTGATCCAAAACTTATGGACCATGGTCAGTCCAGCCCAGAAGATGTGGATATGTACAGTACTAGAAGCTAAGACAAATCTTCGCAAAGCATTGCAGATAAGGGGGAGGGAAGAAGGGAAGGAATAATCCTTACAATACATACTCTGTGAGGTATAATTTAATCAGGTATTTTCTTACATTGCAGTTTGTATTAATGACTTACATGATTCTGTTTAGTGAACATTTTGTTTCTCACGCCTTAAAAGCAATGAGGATTCACTGATTGTCAGTGTCGTTAGTGAGACACTGAGAAAGTTAGGTTTGTCAGTGTCTTCTCACAGTGAGGTTTCTCTGTGCCACGCTTGTTAATAAATATCACTTCACAAAAGATGTTTGAAAATGTAAAAATACCTCTATACTTCGACTCAGCTGTTCATTGATCTGAAAGAAGAATGTGATGGATGTGGTTTGCAGAGGCGTCTTTGAATTTTGTCTTTCGGCCCTGGAATGAAGTGCAGCTTCTTATTGTTCTGAGTACCCTTAAAAAGTTGGTTGTTATATCATATGAATAGTATTACCTTTAATGCTTGTATAAGTAAGTCACCTTTTTTTCATTGCAAAGTCTTTTATTGTTGTTTGCCTCTTTCACAAAGGTAAATAGAAACAACTTCTTGTCCAGTGTGCTTCCTGGGAATTTGAATATCACTTAAGTTGGGCAAAACCACATAACTAATCTCTAAAACATCCTTTTTGGACTATGCGTTAGTTTTCAACTACTTCTAATACTTGGAAGAACTGTATGCAAATTGCTTAATCCATGAAGCTGATACTGTTTGAATTTACGTAGAGTGCATTAGCAATGTTTAGGAAGTTGGAAACCTTCTGTAGTTTCAAGGTTAAATGCAGAAGTAATAGGCAGCCAGCTTTTTCTTCTCAGACATTTGTGTGCAATACCCATTGATCTCGGTAGGATTCCTGTGACATTCTGTGTTATAAGAATGAAATTATAAATTGGTTAAGTTTCCCAGGATGAAACCTTCAAACATGGCTTTTATCATTGTGTGTATCACTTTACTTGTATTCATCCTCCATTTCTCTTTGAAACAACTCCAAAAGGTCGGGATAGATCTGGTGGTCTTCCTTGAACAAAGTTGAGGGAGGGGAAGCGAGAAGAAACTATATAAACAGATAGTTTGGTTGGGAGGCTGAAACCTGAAAAGAAATACTGCTTCATATGAATTTATTCTCAGGACTGGGATATGAAGGGTTATTTGCTCCTGTTCTCCATAAGAAGAGATTTCACAACGTGACTCTTTCTTCTGAGGCTTCTAATGCAAAGGCCAACAACTAGTGAAGTACAGGCAAACAGTATTCCTAGTATTACTATGGAACTAGCAGGAGTTTTGCAGAAATATTGCAAAATGGGATGTGCACAAGGCAGGAATGATGAATGAGCAAAAGAATAAGTAAGGCTTTTATGATGGTTCAGAAACTGATAAGTATTGATATTTTGGAATCCAGATTTCAGGCGAAGTGTTGGACTTTGTTGCACAGAGTCCAATGGAAGGTGAAGTCAGTAAATGTGAAGTTTAAAGAAGAATAATTCTATTAATTAAACTTGCTTGGGACAGCTGACAGGATTTAATGTGTTTTGTTTCTTTAATCATCTCTTAAGGCCTAGGAAACTGTCAGAATTCAGGCAGCAATCAGAGGATATTAAATCAATCTTCACAGAGCTCCTGGACGAGACACATTCAGTGTTCCATCACAGAGAGAGGAGTAGAAAAATTAGATGGCTGGGCTTCATATGCCGTATCCAGGGAAACAGATGAAGACGTAAGGCAGGAAGTGAAAATGGTGAAGAAAGGATCATTTTCAAGTGCAAGACTGTATGGCAGAAATTGTATTATCTATCTCTATATCTGGCCCTTTGATCAAATGATCAAATTCTGGATAAAAACCATAAAGAAAAAAACATCTGCTCTACTCCTAGATTCCATTTAAAATCTAACTTGCCTTGAGTGATGCCCTACCGCAACAAGTCGACAAGAAAGGTAAGATGATGCAGGTTCGCATGAAATTTGTAGGGCTTTACTGTGGTGACATTGCACAGGTGCCTGTGCACAGGAATTAGTCTTCTGGGAGCAGGGAGAGAAGCTACCTTGGATAGCTGTTAAGGAGCAACCACGCCTGCCCTTTCCAAGCAAGAGGAGGCCTTAAAAGACTGCCGTGTACCTGCAGCACCAAAAGCTAGTCTGGTCGTTTGCATGCTTTTAAGGGCATTAGCACTCAAATCTCATGATACAGATGAAAGTGTGAAGTCTGCAAAGCCACACTGGACTCCTTGGTGGTCAGGCAGCCAAGAATGAAATGTTTCGTGCAAGCAGTTTGTACTACAGCCCCCGATTTTACAAGAAGTTCGTGCTGTAAGTGGACACGATACACAAAGCTGTCCCTAGGCTGTGTTTTAGTCTCATATTACTCCTTAGGGCAAAATTGTAGTGGAGCTGTACCTCAGAGTTAAATTGTCATTCAGAAGTCTTAGATATGTTTTTCTGGGACATAACTTAAAATTATTGTTCCTGCCCACTTTGGTGAATTGACAGTATGAGGAATACAGTTCTAGAGCTCATAAACTGGTGCTTCTGTGCTATGTCGTTTCTTCTTGGTGGACGAGAGGAATGAGCCAGCGCAGGTTTATTCCAGTACAGGGTTTGCCTGCTACGTTTTATGTTTTTTGTCAGTTGAGATGTCTCTTTCTCATTCTTTACAAGAGAGGGTAATTTTTTGTTTGTTTGTTTTTTTTCTATCAACAGTTTTTGTTTAATATCCTCATGCAGTTGGAAAGCTGGGGCTGAAATTAGAGGCTTGAGTTTTGGCACTGAAACAGAGCTAAAGTGACTGTTTTCCCTATCTACAGCCAAAGAAAACGGGACAGAAAAAGTATGAAAAGTTTTGTATCCTGTCTGGGTGCATTCTCTACTTTCAGGAAGACCTTAATCCATCTCTCAATTGGGATTTCTCTGTCCTGGAGCCAAGGTTAATTAGTTGCAGGAATGAATTTTTCAGTAAAACCTGTAATGTGATATAATATAATAGTTCTTTGCTAACATAAACTTCTATTAGAATCAGTCATTGTCTTGTCAGTCCATGTGAGACACATGGTGAGAGAAATTTCTGGAGGTACCAAAAAAGATTCAGGTTATTACAGAGAAACTTGGAATGTATTTGCTGAAATGAAGGCAGCCCAAATCAGATTACTAATCTGCTCTTACACAAATATTGGAAAGGTGACTGGGAATCTTTATGGCTCAGCTGCCATTTTGTGAAGTGTTTCTTTGTCAGATCTACAAAGGTGCCTGCCCTCTTTGGTTCAGACATCTGAATCTCCACGTTTTATATAATACTCTACAGATGGCTTGTTCCATGTAACTACAAGGAACTGTAGCCACATCTCTGTGTTAAGGGTTTATAGTAAAGGTGCTATGCAATGGCTTTAAAAAAGCTAATTCAAATCTATGCCATGCTTGTGAGTCCTCGTTTTAAATGTATGTGCCTGACTTGCTCTCTTTAGAAGTTCGTGTCCAGTACTCAAACCTGTTGAGCAATGAAAAATTAACGTAAGTACACAGGAAGAGTTGCATTGCAAGACATAGTTTTATTCATTTAGAGTGAAACACTTAGAAATGCTTCTCAAATGTATCATTCATAGCCACTTACAGTTTCTTTCGTAATGCAATAATACAGTAACATAATAAAAGTAAGAATGTATACTGTAATTTTATATGATGCAAGTAATATATTTGTGAAAAATCCAATGTCTTAAAGAACTGGGTCACATGATGATATTTTATAATACAGAAATAGTTTTAATTTAATGCATGTTTTTTATTTATGATTGATTGTATTCAATATGTAGAGATTTGGAACTTATTCATTTTTTATTTACATAAAACCGATTGTGATACTTTATTTTGTCATATAATTGTGAAGCACCTGAAAATAAAGGGTGACGAGATACTTTTTGAAAATTAAGTTTAACTTCTGTATGTTGTCTCATCTGAAGGGCAAATTGTCAATTCCTTTTCTCTAAAGTACATTTTAAAAGTTTATAAGTAAACATGACACATCTGTTTCAATAATTTTGGGGAAAAAACTCCACCCTGGAGTACTGAAACGTACATTCCTGGAAGAAAGCACTAAAGTAACATACAGGACGTATTAATGCCGTTCAGTTGTTTATGCATCTTAAATTGTGAGAAGTGCTTCCACTTTCTTTTCTTGGTAATTTCTTCTAAAGAATGCTGTAGCTCAGAACTCGGAAAAAAAGAAGGCTTTTATCCATACTGGAGGAATGGCACATGTTGTTAAAAGAACAAGGCAGACAGCAAATACGTTTACTTCAGTATGGCTCCATCATAATCTTCCAGGTAAAGTAATTTGCCAATCCAAGGGTCAAAAATAATATAATACATGGTGTAACCTACAGTGTAACTGTGAAAAAGAAGAAAAATTGTGTGAATAAGTAATAGCAGATTATCATTATGATTCTTTAATAATTTAGGAAATATTATAAAGTTATTTTAAGGCATCAGTATAGTCATCTTTTAATGAAAGTTTGGAGTATTTCTGAAGCACATTCAAATGCAGAAAAGGTATTTTAAATCTAAAAAGAAAGTGGAGGTCCTACAAAGCGTATACTTTTTAAAAAGGAGCATTAGTGTGCACTAGATTGTGTGTAGTTTTTATTTTAAACGGCAGGGATTCTCAGAAGCAAAGCTCAGACACGTGCTGATGGTAAGCTGCAGTCAAGAAAGATTGATTGAAACCATTCTAGAAGTTATCCTATTATTTATATTACCACAGTGTTGATGCGTTCTTCTTGTCGACCAGAGCAAGTGTACGAACCAAACGGAAATGCTAAGGAGAAGGAGATTTAAAAGTTGGAAAATCTTGTCATTATGCTAATGTTTTTATTTAAAGAAACTTCTTTACGTTTTAAAGTCTAATGGCCAGATCTGTCTTGTGCTGCAAACAGCGAGTGTATCAGTACATACTAACAATGTGGAGGAGGAGAAGAGAAAGGAGAGGGAAGTGGAAGTTTCATCACTGACTCGACTGGTAGAAGGGACGTGCACTTGGGGTTGTGAGTTTACTACAGGGCAGAGTGGGAACACCGTTACTCAAGGTGCAGCTAGTTCTCTGCCCTTCCGTTCACGGGCTGTCGGAGATTGCCTTTACTGAAACAACTGAAAGGAATTCTGTGTGTTTCCCTTGCTGTGGTCAGCTGAGAAGTCCGACCTGAGGCCATCATCGTTTGAAGTGTTGGTAACTTTTTTTATGCTTTATTTTGTAGCAGTCCTGATAGCAAAATTTGAGAAATC